GATATATCGCATAACGTGATATAACGCGATATCATGTCGTATATCGCCGATATACGATTCGTGATTTTCGGGAAAAGGCGGTTTTCAGTAACGTTTTTTTCGCGACGTGATAAAGTCGATTATCACTTCCTGTTTATCACATCGTGATTAACGCGACTTGGCGTTTAGCGGGTGCATCAACCCCATGTTGCGGTTTCCGTCCGAGCCGGACGGCTCGCGGAAACCGCCTCCATTCCCCCCTCACTCAAATCTTTTTTGGGGGATAGATCCAAGAGTTTGCGAATAGCGAATTCCCGTCATTGGAACCCTTACTACCACGTTATTTCGTGAGTTTCACTAGAAGCTTGTAGTGGGATCTTGCGCAGTCATTTGTACTCGCGTGCTCTATTTAATCCATAGCTAATCGGGGAGGCTGGTCGTAGTTGGTGGCTGTTCCAGCTGTTGGCGCTCCTCTTTGTCACTCCAACCTCACTACTTCATCCAACCACTTATACTAAAGTCCCTCTGGGTTGTGTTACCTCATCTGAGCACTAGAATCACCACTTAGTTCATATCTGTCCCGAACCCTACAACATTTGGGGGCTTTCGCCGAGAAATGTCTGATGCTTCCACTGAGAAGATTGAGGCATTGACTGATAAGCTGACACAGCTTACAGAAGTGGTGACTCAGATGACTCAGATTCGTGATAATCGGTCATCATCATCGTCATCGGCAACTCTTGTTGGTCTAAGACTACCTAATGTCGTTCTGCCCGTCTACAGATCGACGGATGATTTAGATGACTTCTTGCATCAATTGAGGTCCATTCTTGCGACTACAGAGACCCCTACGAAACATTGGGTTGCTCTGCTGAAACAGCAAGTGATGCAAGATAAGAGGGCTTTCGATTTGGTGAGGTTAGCTGAGTCTCAGTATCATTCTGAGCTCACGAGTGCCAAGTCAGAGGAGGACTATCGTAACTACTACAAAAAAGTTCAGAGTTTCCTATCTTCTAAAAGAGGGAAACCTAAGGAGGAGAAGACTCTCGATCTACTCACCAAGTTCAATGCTATGTCTCAGAATGTCGATGAGACAGTAGAAGAATTCTCTGTGCGATTTCTGGATCTCCATCATGATCTGCAGAAGTTGATCCCTAAAATCTATGTGACTACCTCCCAGGAGGAGAATGGATCGACTAAGGTTAATGGCCTTCAGTTGCAGTTGCGGTTCATTGTGCATTCAAGCTGCGGGAAGAGATCCGTAAAGAGATTGTTGCCCGACAGATTAAGTATGACTCTATCCAATTGTTACTTGAGGCGGCTAGACGTTTCGAGACCTTCCACAACCCGAAGACGAGCGCTCCCTGTCCATCACCCATAACTGACAACACAGTATGGTGTTCGGCATTGCAATGCTATAGGTGTGGAAGAGAAGAACATTTTGCTCGAGACTGTAAGTTCACCGATAGGAGTTGGTCCAGGTGGCCGGCAGAGAGCCGAGTTTCTCACGCTGGCTGGAACCAGCAACCTATCGATAGGACTGGAATCTCTCTAAAGCCAGCTAGCGAGCCTTGGTGCTCGACTGGCGCGGCAGAGAGCAGTCAAGGACCAATATCTCAGTGCACGTGGCCGCCTAGAAGCTTCTATGATCAAGCTTCCTTTGATGAGTCACAATGGGTAACCAATAGAGATTTCTTCTCAAACCAGACCTCAAAAGGTCGTGGTAAGGGGCGTAAAGGAGGAAAGGGCAAGGCCAAGGGGTACGGTTATCGGCAGGGTACCGCCCGGAGAGGACAGGCTCCGAGGAAAAGATATAAAGTGAGTCTGCTGGAGTCAAATCGCAGACAGCATGATGACCAAAGTTCCCCTAATATTTCGGTGCACCGACGTGATAAGGAGGAGAAAACAGAGGATGCTGCTCACTCCATGATCGATCCTCGAGAGAAGGACGACTTCCTTGCCATGCCCATATATGTGAATGCCGGTGATATTGGACAAGATGTATCGAGACGCCAAATTCTGGCCACTTCCATATCACCAAGGCATGACTTGCCAGGTGTGAGAACACTCATCGACACCTGTTGCAGTATAAGTCTGGTGAGTCGAGAGCATGCTAACTATTTACAATCGTTGGGCTATCGTTGCGGTAAGGTGGCATCTCCCATCGAAGTCGGTATGGCATCTGAAGAAGCGACCTTCACAACGTCACTAGTACAAGAAGTACCAATGTGTTTCGATGGTGAGAAAGATCATTCTGTGCGGATGGAATGTCCTGTGATTGATGGACTCCAATGGCCCTTGATACTGGGCATCAACCACCTGACTCTGCTCAATGCTCGTATCAACTGTGTTGATCGAATTGTTCAAATCGGCCACAATCACTGGCGTACTGTCACAGAATGTATACTACTGTGCTTGATTGTACGGAGAGTACATCAGGCTCTCGAAGCGACTTGGTTATGAATACTGTTGACCTCGTCCGCTGTAATTTCTCCACTCTCCTCCAGCCTGGGCTCAATGAAGTAAATGTGTGCTTCTCACAACAGCATGTATCACTACCGGACAATCCCTGGGTGAAAGATGTTGGTATCAATGGGAATGGAAAGTATTTTGTCGTCGACGGTCCGATTGATACGTCATCTGTAAGTTTTGGCTCCTTCAACATCCTCGTGGCAAACACATCCCCGAAACCAATACCATTACGAAGTTATGAGCCCATAGGCCGGATCGTCAATGGCGGTGGTGAAAAAGTCTCAGACTCTCTACGTGCTGAGCTCAGAAAGGAGAAAGAGAAGCTGGATGAGGCCCGTGAGGAAATTTTTCGTGATCCTGATCGTGATTTGCCGCCTACAGGAGATCGAACTGGGCCGAGGCGAGATGAGCAGTACGCGGCTGAGGTGCTCAAGGCCATAAAGTTGGAGGAATGTAATGACCTATCTGCTGAGCAACGGGCTGATCTGAAGTTACTTATAACTAAGTACTGCCGAGCCTTCCATCTGCCAGGTGAAATATTCAGTGAGATTGAGGGGTACAAGCATCGTATTGAGACGGGTGATCACCCACCAATCTACTGTACTCCTTATGCCATCCCAGAGAGCCAGGTGCAGTTCGTGAAAACTGAACTAGATCGGATGGTGGCCGAAGGGATTTGTAGACCAAGTAATAGTCCGTGGAGCTCTCCTGTCTTGATTGTGAGTAAGAAGGATGAGCATGGCGAGAAGGTTCGCCCTAGACTTGTAGTGGATTATCGCAGGCTGAATGCGATAACTCAATTCGACAGTTTTCCACTACCTCAGATCAATACTCTACTCTCAACGTTGTCTGGGAAATGCTACTTCTCCAAACTGGACATGTACTCTGGTTTTTGGCACATAGCCATGGACGAGGCCCACATCTGTAAAACTTCTTTTACTACTCCCTATGGTATATTTGAATATCTCAGATTGCCATTCGGGCTCCAAGGAGCACCAGCGTCCTTTATGCGCATGGTCGTGAGGGTTTTCGCAGATTTGCTCTGTGAGAGCGATAGTAGGGGGCCATATCCCTCTTGTGGCCTACATGGACGATCTGCTGGTGAGTAGTATATCTTGGAAGGATCATCTGGCCCATCTCGCTCGAGTCTTTGAAAGGTGTCTCGAGAAGGGCATTCGTCTCAAACCTTCCAAGTGTCATTTCGGACTGCCTCAGATCGATTATGTTGGCCATCGTGTATCCAGAGAAGGCATTTCCCCTGATCCCTCAAAGGCGAAGGAGATCTCTGCTATCAGTACTCTGACCAGTAAGCCTCAATTGCAAGCCTTTCTGGGTCTGAGTGGCTACTACCGACTCGGTAGTACCGAGATCATATACGTGACTATGCTTCCCGTACATTTCACCTTCGTCGACTTACTCGTGAAAATGTCACGTGGCGATGGGGTGACGTTGAGCAGTCAGAGTTTGAAGATATAAAGCATTCCCTTTCTGACTCGGTTCTCGTTCATCCAGATTTCACCAAACCCTTCATCGTACAAGCTGATGGGAGCAGTCACGGTCTCGGAGCTGCTCTCTGTCAAGTGGATGATAACGGTGTGGAGCGTCCCATAAAGTTCGCCAAGTTCGTCGAGCTCTGTCATCGGCCGAAAGTAAGTGGTCTACAGAGCAGGTAGAGTTACTTGCCGTCTTGTGGGCTGTTGAGCACTGGCACTACTATCTATATGGGCGTCACTTCACAATCGTGACTGATCACGATAATCTTCGATGGTTATTACATGTCTCGCCTAAAAAGCCCCGGCTGTGTCGATGGGTTCTGAGACTTTGTGAATATGATTTTGATATTATCCATCGTAAGGGGGCTCAGCAGTCGAATGTAGACTTTTTCAGTCGATATCCTCCCTCCGGTCCTGCCAAGAGTAATGACCGTGATGGCAATGATCGGTCGTATTGTGCAGTGTGCCATAGAGAAGGCAAAAGGCGGCGGGTTGTGAGCGACAGTGCTACAACGACAGTATCATCATCGTCTGATCTGTATACTTGTGTTAATGTCGCTATCAACTCCCAGGAAAAACCTCCACTTTGTTTGCCAAGCCGACATGAGATCGTTGAGAGCCAGCGTCGTGATCCTATTATCAGCCAGATCATTCAAAATCTACCGCAAGGTGGAGATGATAGCCTCTATAGATTAGACCCCATCGATGGTGCTTTACTAATGGTTGCTCCATATCCTGATGCCTGGGATATACCGGAAGATGTGGAGTGTTGGTAATACCTAGTGAATACCAACTAACGTTTCTTCGTTACTTCCACATCCAATCTGATAGTGCCCATCGAGGACGCGAAGCCACGCTTTCGACTCGAAAGCTGGTCGCTCATTCTGGTGGTCTAATATGGCAAAAAGTGTGAAGAGATTCTGTAAGCACTGTTTAGGCTGTCAGTTGAGGAAGAGCTCTCATGATCCACTGGTCGGTCGACTCAGAACGTCCTAATATACTAAGCCGTTCTCCGCTATTGGCGTCGACTTGATCGAAATGCCGCCAGGTGAAAGTGACGTTGAGGGGCATCCGTATCATTTCATCTTCCACGCGGTCTGTCTATTCTCCAATTATGTTATTGCTCGTCCGCTTCGATCTAAGAGTATGATGGACGTAGCAAAATGTCTATTCAGTGAGGTTATCTGCCATCATGGTTACTTTGGTACGATTCGTTCAGATCGTGGGAAGTAATTTTGTAATTCCCTACTTGATGAATTGTATAAGTTCGGGAATGTTGATATTCAGCGAACTTCGTCGCTGAGAGCGCAGTTCAGTGGCCAGTGTGAGCGTGCTCATAGATTCCCGATGGATGCTCTTGCCATACTCTGCAGTGGTCGTGAGGATCTATGGCCACACTTCTTGCAGCCGGTTACATTCGCTCATAACACGAATCCTGGTAATGGTCGGTTATTTTCGCCGTATTTTATTACTCATGGTGGTCGGAATCCACCCACTCTGCCGGACCTTTTGTTGAAGAGTCGCACTAATTCTTCATGCGAGCCTCCAGATCTGGAGATAGATTCTATGGCAGTTGATATGGTGGAATCTATGAAGACTGCCCACGTATGTGTCCGTCTTGCCCTCCAAGATACTCGCTTGAAGGCGAAGAACAAGTACGATAAAAACCGATCCGTACCGGACTTCGTTGAAGGGGACTTTGTTGGCCTTCGAGCTCCGCCACGACGATCGAAGCTGAGTTTGAAGTGGCGCGGTCCTTATATTGTGAGTGATCCTTGCAATAATACCGTATTTCTCAAAAGTGTTCCTCATGGACCTCCTACTACCGGTACTCGAGTCAATGTGGATAGGTTGATTCACTTGAACTTATCTGGGGACCTTGACTCCACTACTGTCGAAAGATCTGTCATTGATAACCAACATGGTCTTGTTAATTTCCCCGCTATATCAGAAGCTGGTAACATTATCGATGACCCTCCTATTCCTGTTCCGACTGTACCAGTGCAGCTAAAGAAGTCTCTGATACCGTCTACGGGAGAATCCAATGTCTCCAATATCGTAGATGCTCAGGAAGGAGAAGTCGTTGAGATCTCGAGAGGAGTACCTGATCCTCAACGAACCTTTGCTTTGGTAGACAGGAGTTTCAAGGAAGATTTCGTGGGTATTGGTACAACCCGAAAGGATAGAGAAATGATCACCGCACTTTTCGACGCATGTCCAGCCCAAGTTGGTCTGAGTCCTAGAAGAGCGGTGGAACTCATTATGAACTATCCGGGTTACCGTCGAGGATATTTAAAAAATGTTGCACATCATACGATCTCGTTGACTGTAGATCGCTATGGTTGGCTCCAGCGAGTCCATACTCGTCTTTATTTCATCGAAGATGCTTTGGGTGTTGGATATGTGGTTGGTGAATTATTACGCAGTTCCGTTACAGGCGAAAAAAAGCACTTGGTGCGATTTTATCAAGTTGTTCGTCCCGGAAGTGATGTCATATGTGAGGAAATGTCGCCTCCGGATTGGATTCTGGATAGTGAGATTATCTTTCCATTGTCGATAACCGAAGAGAGACTGCCTCATGGACATTTACGTCTTTAAGACGTAAATGTCCATGAGGACTCTCCAGTAAGTTACTGGAGAGTCCCATGTGAAGTTGGAGCCCTATAATTTCAGTCTTGAAGATTATGATCCCCAATGGGAATCCCGGATTCCCCATGCGACGATATCTTTAGACCCAGATTTTTGATGTTGAACTTTCTATGATACGTTCTCATTGAAGAAGGGGTAGAATGTAGTGGGATCTTGCGCAGTCATTTGTACTTGCGTGCTCTATTTAATCCATAGCTAATCGGGGAGGCTGGTCGTAGTTGGTGGCTGTTCCAGCTGTTGGCGCTCCTCTTTGTCACTCCAACCTCACTACTTCATCCAACCACTTATACTAAAGTCCCTCTGGGTTGTGTTACCTCATCTGAGCACTAGAATCACCACTTAGTTCATATCTGTCCCGAACCCTACAACAAGCTTTCTAGTAGAAAGGTTCGAAATAGAGTGTTTGATGGGATATATCAGATGTGATATGATCACTATGATCTGAGCGATGCCAACTTCAGGACGGAGGGCGATTCCCTTACTTTTCTGGCAGCAGGCCTGGCTAGATCGATTCTATCATAGCTGTTGGAAGTGCGCACAAACAGTGTATGCAGAGATATCGCTCTCCATGTACCATCAGGAGTGCAAGAAGCACCGACAACAAGATTACGAAATAAGGAAACACAGGGTAGAGAGAATAAAAGCTCACTTCACAGGGTATTTCCGTCAGCCTCAACCATCACAGGACTCAGTGAGCCGGCTGCGTGAGCCCGGCTCACGCATTATGCGTCAGCGTGCAAGAACAAGGGCCGAACTATCTGCGGTGGACAACCAGCCTCTTATATTTTGCTCGTTATAAAACAGCCTCAGATTCCATCCAAGGGCTATCTGATTCGATGGTGAATGCCACAGTCTATCAACTTGGACATTTTCCTCACTCAATCTTTGTTGTCCGAGTCGGACAGTCCAACGTTAGTGATAAGTGGGTCAGTACATGACGAGGAGATGGACACATGAGTAACTGATACTTCTATACTTCAACGTGTGGCTTGTTGTACTGGTTCTGGTCATAAATCATCGGGCCCGTTATCATTTGTCTCTCATCAATATGATTATCGCTCTGTTTTCCGCGTTCGCCTGCATAGCAGCAATCACTGATGCCGGCGAGCTTGGGAACGAAGGTACCGTGTTTGAACTCAGGCCGTTACCGTCCATCGATTATCTCCAGGCGAGACGCCCGCGTTTCACCATCTTCGTTCTCTGGATGGCGGCGGGGTCTTGTGCCCAGGCAGCAAGGGTAAACAGGAGTTCGGATATATACCAGTTGGCGTGATAAATAAGTAGGTATATTCAGCGTGCGGAGTGACTATCAAGGTCATGCTGCTTCTAGGTACTTCTACGCGGTTATGGAAGCCGAAGACGTAGATCCAGCATCAGCACCGACCTTCTGGTTTATGGCTGGTGGGCCGGGCTCGAGTAGCTTGGGGCAGGCGATGATTATCAATGGACCATGCAGGATGTCTCCTAACGGGAAACAGCTCCTTGATAATACGTGCGAATCTCCTTGTTTGGTGTCATGCGATGTGATCGTGTGGAGTTAGATACTCGTGGACTAAGCAAGCCAACAGCATTTGGATCGATACACCTGGACCTACCGGTTTTAGCACGGGGCCGATAGAGTCCTCCTTGGAGAAGTTTATCGGCAACATGTGAGCATTGTTTAGACCAGAGAATACACACGTCACAATAATTCTGCACAGGGTGACCTTGAGCGGGCAGTTATTCAAGAAGTACCCTCACTTGAACAGGAATGTACACCTCGTCGGGGTATCATCGTCTGGTATGCATGCCGAGCTAATATTGCGCGTGATACCATCCTGCAGCTCTCTTCGTTGCTATGTTGGGAGAGGGCATCCTGCGAAATCCACAGCTCAAGATCGATTTAAAAGGAGTGATGATGTATTCTGGTATAGTTGGACCGTACGCGATGTGAGCAATCCATTCATTCCGAGTTGACATTATTGACTGGCTCTTCTTGCCAGACAGCACGGAGCTTACGAGATGGCCAAGGAACGGAAACTTCTACCTCAGAAGGAGTCCTGATTCCACACTGTGCGTTGGTCGTATAATTTTCCCAGGCTCGATATAATGAAGACTGGCTTGACGAAGTGTGAAGCAGCAGTCGACAAGTGCAATTCTAATGGCCCTGGAAAGCCTGCTAAGCCCGGTGGATAACCTCTAACTCGAGCACCTTCGACAATCATGCTCTCTTCCTTGCAGTTTTGTGCCAAGAAGCTGTCAATATCTGTGAAAAAATAACGATGGACCCTATGGACAGAGAAGGCAAGAGCATGTAAGTGGGCGGGTCGGAATGGAAGTGTTGACCTTCGCTGTCTCGAATCGCGCCGCGATTATCGCGGCCCCTGATACGAGGAGGTGAGCCGACCATTCTGGCTACCAGACTCCTTTAAACCACATGTAGTCTCTCTGTGTCGTCCGGGATATTCCCATCAACCGAGCCAGTATTTCCTCTCCAGATACGATGTACGTGCACGAAAAGATGGAGATTCCAAATTTTACGCTTTCAAACCGGGAGAAGTAGTCGTTATTGCAGGTCTCAATTTCGAAAGTTGTCATCCACTCAGGCGGCCGGTTTCCTCAATAAGCCAAATGTTAAACAAGCTCTCGGCGTGTCTAAGACTTGGGAGCGGGAAAATGATCAGGTTGTCATTCTTACAAATTTGGGTTCCATGTGAACATGATGGTTCCGGCCCAGGTCCTACAGCTCTTCAATAAGTACGCCGCCTATAATGGGACCTGCTTCGTCACACAACTCCTCGACCACGGATTAAAGGTGAGAATGATCTAAGATCATCGCCTCTGGCCCAGAGGCTCTGGGATACACCGTGACTATGGATCTGCGAACTCGGTGGCCCAATACGCGCCACAGGGGGCATACCAGTCATCCGACTGCCAGTCGCGAGAGAATCGTGATTTTTCAAGTCTTCATGAAAACAAAGAAACGCAAATGGTCTATTCGATGATGAAGCTAATATTGGACGGCTACGCTCAACCAAGTCCACTAATTTTGATATAGTACAAATCATGTCTGGAGACTGAGTGAAGGAGTAGATACGGAGTATCCTTTCATTGGATCAGTACGGTATACGGTATATCACTGCTACAGATACTTGTGGTCAATGGCGATGAGGATTATATCACGAACGCGGTGGGTACAACGGAATGGCTGTTCAACTTGAAAGGGAAGGAGGGGTACGGCGAAGCACTCAGACATTCGAAACCCCAAGATCTCAAGGTCGGGAGCTTACTCTATTACAGTGACACCTCTTAGCACAACCTCTGTGGCGAAGACTCTGTTTCAGTTTCCTGGAATTGGCGTCATAGGAACGTCGCGTACTTCTCGGTACTCTAATGAAGCGAGACTCGCATTCGTTGAGGTGGAGAGCACATTTTGGTAGCGAACATTGAGGGTGCCTGTTCAGGTGAAGAACGCAGGCCATTCACTCATGCTCAATCAACCCGTGGGGATGCAACAGATACTCAAATCTTTCCTCACCGGTAACCTTTGGTGATACGCAAGCACTCACCAGTAGAACGCCGATCTGAATAGCTTGCATTGTTCAGCAGTTATCGGTCAATATCACGAACTTTTCTTATCTCGCCTTCGCTCGATATTCCCCCTTCTGGGCTTATCAAGCATTTGATCCCAGAGATTTAGGCGCCAAGTTATTTTCTCGATATTTCCTATTTCGCCCTCGGGGATAATATTCCTGGAATATGGTCTCAGAGGCCCAGACTATGAGTCAGTCTAGGACGCAAATATGTCCTGGGTTACAGTCAATTCGGGATTATTAGCTCGGGAAACAGATGGCCTTGCCTTCTACGGGGAGTTTCTGAGAGGAACATTGAGAATCGGACCAAGTGAGCGGCTCACTGTGAGACAGTCTGGCACACGAGAAAGATGGAGAGTAATGGCCCACGAGTCATATTGCAACATTTGCGGGGCAGCCATGGTCATCAAAGCCGACCAGCGAAGATAGTGCGATAATACAACGAAGAAAATAGTATGGATATGTAGTTGTGTCACAACTGTTGTGAACTGTATTGCCGTAAGCAGACAAGTTGTCTGAGACAACTGTACCAGTCATCAAAATTTCAGCGGTCCGCACGGACCGCTCGGCACAGTGATGCGCATGATACCTTAACCTAGATCGACACGAGGACTATTTTGTTGAAACTCGATGAGCTCAACTCGGTTGTCCATGAAAACAGTGAATACTGGGAGTTGTGAATCGGAAAAAATTCCCGCGCACCCTGAAAAATTATCAGTTATAATGGTGAAGACACAAGCGCGCCGCAGGCGGGCGATTACCAAAGTATGGCCTGGACCCACTTGCGACGTTTTTGTATCGAGCGGTTGGTCCAGCGCTCAAATTTCAAGCTGCAAATAGATGGTTCAAGGTTCGAATCCAGAGACTGTAATGATAGATTTGTAACTGATATGGTTTTTGCTGGGACGCGGTTGAGATATTGACTAGGCTGGGCCAGTAAGCTTGGTTAACTTAGCTGGTTCGCCTCCTTAGCAGTTGCTCCGGGCCCAGGAATTCAAATACAACATTATACAGAAGTATTAGCGTTGTATTTGTTCCTATAGCCTCATAAATTGATGTGTCCTGTGGTACTTTTCGGAGAACTGCCAGGATTGTTCTGCAACGAGGTTCCTACACTTCTTCTACGCTCGCTACTCAAAAGCTCTGCTGATGGAAATCCCATGTTTAACTAGTGTCTATCGGCGCTCTCTAAATCCTTATCGGAGTCGTACCACTACACATTTGGATCAGCATACATGATCTTTGTGTTGGCGTTCCTATCAAGAGGGTCGTTTAATATGACCTTCGCCAGATCATAATAATATTGTGTCGGTGGAGGTATCACTTCGAACATAATGATCGTGGCGTCACGGCACGATCATTACACACGGCACTGCCGTGTGTAAGTTCTTGAAATGGGATCTTGATGAGATTCTTGCCGCCTAGTATGACTCGCGATGCTGATCATCAGGCGATCTCGGATCTGTAATCGTGGGACAGAGCTGGTGCCCTGAAACATTACTGTTGTTACCTCGTAGAAGATATGGTCAGCCTTGCGTTCAACGGTAAATGGGCCTGTAACCTGTATGACTGTAATCAGTATGGCCGCCGGTTTTCTCAAATGCCGCGACTCGAAAGACCTGATCGCCCCCGCCGTAGTGGTATATCCCCCATGCGCTACGGCGATCTTGAAATAGCAGGGTCTAACTAATCTTACAGGGCTCGCCTGGTTTAACAATTACTGCTTGGATCAGCCGTGTCACGCGTTAAGCAGGACGTTCAACGTCCTGCTCAACGCGTCGCAACGTCCGACGTTGCGACTACGTATTTCTACAGCTTCAAAACTGGAACCCTCAGTTTCAGAACGCCGCAGACTTTGAAACAAAGTTTTACGAAAAACACCCGAGCTCTTGTGCCGGTTCCGGCATGAGGTGGAGAACCACAAAGGCAGCAAGATGATGAGTTTCGATTGTGCTATGTTGTCTTGCGCCTTGTGCCCGCTGTCTCTTAGCGCTGGCTGTGTGACGTATTACTCATTACTATGTTGCTGTGGTTGCGATTACTACATTGGCTTACTATCGTATTTCTGCAGTGCGATTCCAGGTGATTGTCGGATGGTTCGTTTGCTTAATGAAACGCACACATTCAGTGAAATTTCCAATGAATCGACCAGCAGCTCGGATTATGGTGTTCTCAGGGTGAACGAAAGCTTTCCTAAGGCTGCGGAAGGTTGAATTGGAAGCACTGCCCCCACACTCTCGTTGGAGATGCCGTCGTTGTGGTTATACCCGATTTCGAGCCGGTGAAGAACCTCTCTAGCCATGCCGATATTGCGGCGGCCCTTCACGACTCGTCAATCGCGAGAGAGGTCCAGAATTTCGCCCGTAGGAACGGTGTAGAACGACTCCTATTCGACGTATCAAACGACGATGGAGGGTTGATCATCCTGCTATGCTTTTGCAGTTGTACGTGGTGAACCCTGAGTAGGACATCTACTCACCGGAGGTGAGGCATATGACAGATGGCTGGCAATCATGGGTATCCTCGTTCGGTGTGAACTATAATGAGGCTGCCTCATTGAAGAAGTTGTCAATTGCCTCATTGGGGCAATTGACGTTTTCTTCAAGAAGAATGCTGATCGTGATGGAGACCCGGAATTTATCCAAGGTAGATTCCAGAAGCTTTATCTCCTTTTGGATCACGCTGAAGATCTGCTCGATGACTTGATGAGTTTAGACGGTTGGAAAGGATCGAGAGTTTCACTTTGTCCTGCATCACACAAGCGTAGCGGGCGAGTAAGTTCAAGGAATTTTTGAAAGAAAAGGAGCTCCTTGATAGGTCGACCCGGGTAGGTTCCAAGCTGGCACCCGAGCACGGCTGGTTTTTGTCCAACAATTAGGGGCTCGTGGACCCTGAGAGTCTCAGGCTGAGACCATTCATTGGTCACCAATGGAGAATTCAATCCACCGCTCAAGCAGTTTACGGAATTGGAATTCCACCGCTGCAAGAAACCGTCAACTTAGTTGACTCAACTACTCGACAAAAGAAGTGTTTTCGTCTTGTAATGAGATCTCGGAGGATCTCTCAGCGATTGTTAGTGGAAATACGATAAGAACTACTAGATCGAGGTCGCCTTCGTTACCGACGGTAATTGTGATTCTGCCTATTCTATGTGTACCCAACCGTTGCAGCCCTCGGGATCAGCTACTGCTTTTGGTCAGTCGGAGTGTTCTGAGAGACACAAGAACTCCTGGGTTCCTGCGCCCCAGTTTGGACCCGGGGCTCTACTACGATAGTTCTAGAAGATGCCCGCTCACAACCATTTGAATATGCGGGCTGGAAATCTGGAAAAAAGAGCCGCCATTCACAGTGAGATAGTCAGCTTTAAAAGCTGGACTGACATGAGAGCAAATCCCCAATTCAAAGGCCTAGGTTGTCGTCCTGCTCATGTCGAAAAAGTGAAGGATCAGGCTTCGATCGCGGTCTCCGATGAGGATGCTCCATTCTGCCTAGTTGTTTAGATATTATTTCAACTAATTTAGTTGTTCAGTAATATCACGGACGTCTTTCGAAGGGCTTGCCTTTCCAGCAAGCTGTGAGCCATCCTGAAGACGCGTAGTTATTTAATGTTGTATGATAAACCGTCAAGTTAGTGGAGCCTGACCTCATAACCCCATGGAGGTGGTGTTCTTAATAAGAACTTCTTATACCACTTTTTCAATTTGAAAATTTCTAAATAATTAGAAAACTGTTGAGTAATAGTGAATTCATTCCTAGTGTTGCGGTACACACCGAATCAGGTCAGCCATACGAATGTGAGACAGGCGCGAATGGTTTGTTCAAAATGCCTTAGTGGTACGGCAGTGTTACCGTGGTAGTTCAGTGTAATAACTGAACTACTACATAGTGATTAGTACCAGTGGCACTGTACTATCGCAGGAAGCTAGAGTCTGAAGATCCGAACACTTTTTGTCTACTATGCTTAATTGATGTAGTCCCTGTAGGGACGGTTTTGGTTCTCAAGCTTGTTATTGCTGCTAGGTTTGTTTTTGGTACTTCTGGAATTCGCTGTAGGATATACCACGAGTGAACCCCCTCTTACGCAGGGTGCATCAAGCGCATGATGATCAACAGCTCTTCTAAACTCAACTACACATACTTCGCACCTGAACACATACATACATTCCGAACAAGGATAAGCAACGATTCGGTGGTGCTAAGCTTTCCAAGGAGAATTACTCAGGAAGCCTTGCCATTGACCTGATGAATGTTAGAGCCGTTCTTGAAATAGGCAGAAATCAGCTCAGCAGCAGCGAGTCCGGCATTAACGTTGGACTCGAGAGTCTGCGCGCCCATCTTCTGCGGGGTAACAATGAGCTGCTTCCTTGATTGATCAGCACCGATCTTCTCCCTCAACTCGTCAATCTTGGTGAAACCAACACCAGAGATGTAATCGAGGTTAGAAATCCTCTTTTTGTCAGGACATGCTACTTGCAGAGGGGAGATCATCTCCGAGTCACAACGGTAATCACACCTAGCTTTCCTTTAGTGTGACTATCTCATGAATTTGAATATCTTGTCATGATTTGGAACGGTTGCGGTTCATCGGAGGTATCATAAGGATGTGGAGTACTCGTGAATCACACAACATCATCATGTGCTAGAAAAGTCACTGTGTCTACTTCTGGCTTCAACAATGATAAGACTTCCTTCAACGAATGAGCCATATGAAGCAACATACTAAACGCTGATGGATGCGGTACTTCCCCGATACTCACAAGAAACATCGAAAAAACTAGAACAAACGGCAGAAAATCACCTTCCCGCACACAGTTTCTTGAGGTTTCGAAGAGTGCATTGAGGATTTTTTATCAAAGCTAATTAATTACTGAAATCCGCCTACCATTCATCGGCCACTTCACGAAAGGAAACCCCACCGCCTTGTCCACAACCCTGTCGACACGTGATGAACACCAAACCCCATCGCATCGAGAGAATTGCCATAAGGTCAACACAATATCAATAGGAGAATAAGGGCACCCACTTTATAGAGGCCCCCTCAGCGACCAATGCAGTGCTTTATTCAAGCACTGCCGTTGCTAGTAGGAAGGCATCTGGTAAGCTTCTGGTCAGCTTCCCATGAATCACCAGGGGCTACCTTCACCGGCTCTACTGCGGCTGCAGACTCGACGGCGTCGAGTCGACGCAAATGTATCTATCAATCAAGTTCAGTTATACACTCGAGAACAGCGAGAGGCATAATCATACCATCATTTCTCCAACTCCTGAACATTTGCCTACTACACGAGGAGTTCAATGTTTTCAACAATTCTCAACAAAATAAACTTTCAATACCATATTGCGCACACATCACGATGAGGAGTACCCTCGAATGAGTATGATACTACTAGCCCCTGAGTAAGCCTACCTCTTGAAGTCCCCCGCGGGCATATCGCCTAACGAGTCGCTGCCAATATTCCACACAACAGTGTCCGGGAACGACGGGCTCTTCTCAGCCATCAATCTGACAGGAAAAGCGTTAAATCATCACAAGTCAATGAAGACTGCTCACATCTCAAAACCGTCACAAAGTATATGAGCGGGGCCAGCTGCTTGCTTATACACTCTATCCACAATACCCTCATTAAACTCAACCACCGAATTCCCATCATAACCTGCACAGGAAAACCAAACCCTTAAATAGTCACTGGAGTTTCACAACACTAGTGAAAAACATATTTCACCCATAGCACCGCATAGCACGAATATCGCGTTTTTCACAGAGTACTACACCACTGCATGTAAAACGGGTGAAACTCCACTATATGAATTGCCTTTCTTACAGTCCTTGCCTCCCTGAGCCGTATCGTTGTAATGATGCTCACCAACTCCCGCTACTGTTGTCGTAGTAATATCTCCGACCGAGAAGTACCTAAACCCTCTTCCTCGTCCTCTCCACACAGCCGTTCATGGACTATTACGTATGAAGAGCTGTTGTGAACTGCATAGCCTCCGCACCAGTATTCACCACTTCCATATGCATCCCCAAATAGTCCCCACCTAGAGTTACAGTATACCGCAACTCGAATTCGAATGGGCATCCCATCGTTTCCTTAGTAAATTCATTCGAAACCAGCTTGAATGTAACCTGTACAGAGCTCAGCATCTACACGATTTTGGAAAGTTATGGTACTATTACTAGTGAGAATATATTAATATTATTAATACTTGAGTATAAATATAATGGAGTTTCACCCGTTTTACGTGAAGTGGGGTTATACTGTGAAAAATAGGGTTGTCCCAAATGCAATTGCACGGCGCACTTAGTGCAATTGCATGCAACTGCAATTGCCGAAGTTGCAATTGCTCGCAATTGCATTTTTTCGGGCGCGCGCTGTGCGCGCGCAGCAAAACACACTCTCTGTGGGTAGCGGGAACCTAACAAGTGTAGTTATCAACCATATACCTGCCGCCTCCGAGTTGCAACAAAAGCAGATTGATATTATCATTATACTTGAGAGGTTAGCGGAGCGCTGCGGCAGTGAAATCACCTTTGTAACGAGAGAACTATGCAAACCTGGAACACACCGCGAAGAGCACACAATCTGCACGTGCATACGCACACATGCGTGCAAGGTACGTGTGCGGCCATCCCACGGAACTTAACCTAACAAATTGTTGTTAGTTGTTAGTAACAATTCCTTGTTTCCATGTGGAGCAGCGATGCACCACTGGCCTGATGCGCTTTGACCACACCCACCTGACCCGGGGGATGTGTGCCGGGCCCTATCGGTGTGTAACATGTAAAACCTAGTTCGCACCATGCGATCCCTGCCACATAGAACCTTCGGCGCATTCGCAGGTCATGGATTCCCCGATTGCCGATCTACAGATTAGACAATAAGACTACTAGTCTGAGATTAGTGGCAACGTTGAACGTTGCTTGATTGGCAATCTCGCGCACACTTGGACATCCAGCCTTCGCCGAATGGCGCCTCGGTTCTCCAATCCCACACTCTCGAGTCGGAGGGGCTTGCACATTCTCCAGGAACTGGCAGCTGATGGCGCTCCGATTTGTCACCTGCTCGAAATCGCGAACCAGATCCTTCGATTGCTGAGCTCGCAACTTGGCCGGACGCTGTTCAAAGAGACTTGCCGGATTGGGAACAAGCTATGGCGAGTGGTACTGAGTCGTTGCAGAAGCTAGTATTCATCAACAGTTCATGGAAACAAATTCAAAGTTTTCTCGCGGACTTGTCTGAGGTGAGGAATTGGATGGGGGAATGAGGAGTGAATTGAGAAAGACTTCAGTTGCTGAAGTTATTACTGCATCAGAATTGAATGATGTTACATATTTATCAGCGATACGATATCACCCAGTATCATACTGCCAGTATGTTATATGATGTAGCTTTATACAACTATAGTACAATTTCATTATCAAATTTTTATAAAGCTGCAAAACCTACTATACGCCTGTGATACTATACAGGCTGTATGATGCAGCTGCTTCGGAGTTTCCCAGTCATGGATGATCCATAATGGATCAGTTTCAGATTGATTCGGATGGATTGCAGAGCGACGCAGTTCATGAGAAATATGACTGTATTTCTAAGAAGATTTTTGAATCCAACCTAATCTCAATTCATTAACATGCAGTGAACGCCCATCACGTACTAATCTTTGATGCCGTGAATCACAGTCTGTGAATCAGACTGTGATTATCAACGATTAGCATGATATTCTCAGGTATCCAACTAAATGAAGCATGAGGTCATATAAAGCCTTCAGAGTTGGGTTGAGTTGGTTCAATTGAGTTTTTCTCTCCGCCTGCGGCGGATCTGTTCAAGTTTGAATATTTCTTGGCGAGCGAGATATTATATGCGCATGCTCAGAACTCGCGCGCCCACAAAAAAGTTGCAATTGCACCCTGCAATTGGGATTGTGTGCAATTGCGGAAATTGCATGCAATTGCATGCGTGCAATTGCAGCCGCAATTGCATATGGGACAACCCTAGTGAAAAACGCGATATTCGTGGTGATATGCAGTGGTCGTAAGACTCTCGTTGTGTTAAACGAGGTTGTCCCCGAATTCCACCTGCGGCCATATGCCCGCATGGAGTGAATCAAGCGGACTTCCTCCTACGTAGGCTCTTCCCCCGTGATCCCGAAAGGGCTGCGGAGGTCAATGCCTTGGTTCTACCGCCGCAAACTGATCCCATCCCGGCGGTCACCTACTCTGAACTCAGAGAGGCAGCCAATGGTTTACGGAGAAGCGCGGCCCCTGGAAAGGATGATGTGACCAATGGCGTCATTCTCGATACTCTCGAGGTGCTGAAGGACAACTGGTGTACCCAGTTCACTGAAGCCCTTGAGACTGGTATATATCCCGATGGATGGAAGTCGTCCAAAGGGATCTTCATTCATAAGGCCGGCAGAGACCCCACCAAGCCTAACGGCTGGAGGCCAATCTGCCTGGTCGGTTCAGGTAGCAAGCTGTTCGAACGTCTCATAGTAGAACGGCTTGCATCTTGCCCGCAGATCCAGAAGCGATTGGACTCTCCGATTGTCCATGGATTCTGCAAGGGCAAATCGGTTGACTCTGCTGTCCTGCGCGTAGTCGAAGCGTTCAGGGCTGGCAGAAAAAGGAGTAAGAGCGCGCCTATTGCACTTGTCCAACTCCACGTGCAAAACGCGTTTAGCTCGGTAAAACACAGCCACATCCTGGCAACCCTGGCCCAATACGATGTCCCACGCTATCTAGTGAGCATTGTAGAAGGCTACTTAAGGGCCCAGAGTGTTTCGGCTGTCTATGGTGCAGACGTGGCCACTCTGGAACTTCAGCGAGGGGTGCCTCAGGGCAGTGCCCTGGGCCCCTTCTTGTTCCTTCTATCCACCCTGCCGCTTGTAGATGACTTCGCAAAATTGGAGGCGAAAGGCGTGAGCTTGACCCTCTATGCGGATGATACAACGGTGGTGGTATCCGGTGGAACTGGCCCGTCCCTGGTTAAACGGTGGCAGTCAGCAGAAGCTCTACTACTGGCTTGGGCCGCCAAAGCGGGAGTGTCCTACGAGCCGGCTAAGAGCCAGGCACTCCTGCCCAGGACCATCGGGGACCATGCCTTGTCCCTTGATGGTACACCCATCGACATTGTTAAAGTCGTACGGGTGCTCGGTGTCTGGATCGACCACCGTCTGTCTTTCCAGCACCATATTCGGTTAAAGGTGTCCGAAGCCAAGGCCAAACTTGGTCGTCTGAGGCACCTCGGTTGGACGCGAGCAGGGATCACCGGTAAGAAAATAATCAAAACCTACAAGGTGGCGATCTTACCGGCCCTTGGCCACGCAGTAGCGGCCTGGAAGGAAGGGCTTGAATCCGCCACGGCAAAGTCCGCATTGCTGCAGGTCACAGCCATGGCAACCTTGGGTCAAGACTACGGTAGTCTGACTACCATCCGGGACAAAGAGGAAGCCAAGAGCTATGCGCAGGTGGCTCTCCTCTCCGGAAATGCCATCTTTACCGATGGCTCGGTGGTCAAAGACCGTAAGACCGGTGCTGGAATGGTGGTATATCGTAAGGGTGTAGAAGTTCATTCCAACTACTGGAAACTCTCCCCCTACGCTACTATCACGGACTGTGAACTCCTCGGAGTTCTTGAAGCAGTCCGCTGGGTTATCCTGACGACGGAAGGAGAGGAAGAATGGGCAGTCTTCACGGACTCTCAAGCAGTACTCAAGATCCTGTCGTCGAGATCTACGGTGGCTCGGCGGGACAAAGCGAGACAGATCACCCTGCTCTTAGCTGAAATCCCGGACAAGGTCACCTTCCACTGGTTGCCTGGTCATAGTGGCATGTTCGCTAATGACCGAGCCGATGAATTGGCAGCCAAGGGTGCCTCCATGATGGAAGTCTCTGCGGAGACGGAAATCAGTGTGAAGACCCTTAGGCGTTATCAGGCCGAAGCCGGGCGTCTGGCACTGCGTAGGTGGTGGTCAGACAAACGGGCCGGTCTAGGCACTTGCGTCAACGACTTCTCCTACTGTGCCTCGCATGCGAGGCTATGGAGTCGAGGGGAAATTACGCCCGCTGGCAGTGCCGTGGTTTTTGGTAGGGCTCCCACTCCTGCGCATCTTCACAGGTGTGGAGTGATCGACTCTCCGGTGTGCGACTGTGGAGCCCCGGTAGGGAATCTACGGCATCTCCTGCGCTCCTGCCCGCTCCTAGAGCATGCCAGGAAACGTGTTAAGGGAGGTGTCCCCTATCATTTTTACAAAATGGTCGTCGATTTGAAGCGCCGTAAGGCCTTCAATCGACTCTTCTTGGCCCTGATGCAACATCTTGATGCTCGCCGGGGCCTTTTATGATTGCTTAGAAGCGGCGCATGCCGCATAGCGTTTTGGGTAGCTTAGCGCACTCTCTTTGTATATTTCATCTGCATGTCGCTGTAAAAAAAGGAAAAAAAGAAAAAAAAAGAAAAAAAAAGAAAAAAAAGAAAAAAAAAATCTAGCAGCGACAGCAGCACAGACACAACCAGTCGAGCGGATTCGAGTCATCAGAAGACTCGTCGGAGGTGCCAAGCCCAGAGGATGGAGGAGCGGAGCGACGTTAATTAAGGGCAGTAGCCTTAGAGCAGAAGAACATGATTGCTGTATCCTGTATTGCTCGTTATTAAGGACCGTTTCAATCAGCAGTAGTCGTAAAATATGTTTTACACTAGTGTTTTTCATACCACTAGGGTGAAACTCCAACGCGTAATTAACACAATTCATAATGATAATAATTTATTACGCACGGATCCTCCTCGGTGCTGTAGCTGTCGAGCTCCCACTCAGTGTTCCTCGCGAAGCCGTGCTTCTGGAAGGGACCGTTACCAGCGAATTGCGGCCAACAGACCTGTGGGAAATTGTGGTAACGCTGAGTATTACTACCTCCACTAGAGCGTAATCGATATCGGCCGAGTTTTATCGGGAAAATTCCGATTTTTTTACCAACTTTTCTGCTAAATTGTCCAAAATCTTGCAAATCCGTAATAACCAACACACATCGGCCCAATACCACTACTTACGGGGACTCCGCCTCTCATGGCTTTACCGTTGCCATAGTCAGCGATAGGGGACAGATACAGGTTGGAGTTGCCTGAAGTACTTCGCCTAAGTGATAGAACAGCAGCTACTCATCTCATCACCTTCTCGGTCGGTCCATCTAGCCACGTGAGCACCGTAGACGTAGACGTCACATGATGCCTTGGGGTATTTGGGGTGACGGAGGGTGACCATAAGGAGATCTGAAAGGGAATGATGGATGGCTACC